CCTCTTGTATCAAAATTTCTGTTTAAAAAGGCCTAGGAATATAGCAACTTATGTTTATTAAGGGGTACCTGTTATAAACTGTATAACAAAGAACAGCTATAGAAGAGTCCTCTACTGCTACTCAGTACTGAAATAATACTACATATATAGAAATATTGAAAATCAGAAGGAAAGTCCTTCACTACTACTGAACAAAGAGTAAATCCTAAGTATTTATTGAAATAGAGAAATGTAAAGAAAAGTTGTTCCATCACTGAATCACCAATGTCAAAGTACAAGTTATGCTTAACAATATATACTAATGTCTTTCTATTTATTTTGCAGAATTCATCACAATCTTGATGCCAGAATGGAAGTGGCCTCCATTCTAGGTTGTGTAAACAGACACACACAAATGTACATAGCTTTCAGTAACATCATCATGCATCGATCATTGACTATCATTACATTGAGATGTAACGAATCCAAAACAGAAATTAGTTATCACTTAACTATCTTAACATTTCTGAGATCCAATAATTAAAGCAGGGAAAGAGCAGTAAGAGAACATGAATAAAATTCTGTGTGCAAAGACACCTTATAGAAATACATGTTCAATAGCCAATTGTGGTTGCACGGTCTGACGTTATTCATGGCAAATGCTTAATAACCATTTCCTTTACTAGCAAAATTTATAAAACACTAAAACCTAGCATACAGCTAGCAGTGAGGTGTTTTGTTAAGTTTTTTGTTTTGAGAAACTAAACCAGTACAGACTGAGTCTCCCTTATTCAAAATGCTTGGGACCAGACGTTTTTCAGAATGTTTTCAGATTTTGGAATACCTGTATTTGCATATGCAGTATATAGGGAAGGAGCTTAGTTGCATGCCCAGAGTCCACCTTTGCCCAGCCTAAAGAGTTACAATTTCACTACTGTTAGAAACCCAATGTGGGAAAGAGAAGAGACAGAAGATAGGAAGATTCCACTTACATAATGCTCCTGCAAAAACTAACACCCCAGATGCTTCTCCGGCTGTCAGTACACTTTCTGCCTTTTAGAAAAGTAGCTAGGAATGGAGGGTAACCCCCTCCTCGCAGTCTTTTACATTCTCTCTAGATTGGATACAGGCGACAGCCAATGGAGTCACTCTATGCTGGCCCCTGTGGTCCATTTCCAGGGCACTCACCCTTCAATGCACCCCTATTGGTCAGGAGGAAGGTGATGTTTCCCCAAAGGTGGAAGTGGATGGCTGAAAGCAAACAAGTTTAGGTTTTGGGAGTATTTTGGATTTCAGATTTCCAGATACATGAGACTCAATCTGTACTATATCAACAAGCTTTGCACACCGAACACACCTTATTTGTTCACTCAGAACTCCAACTGAATTAAATAAAGGGTTATTCACAGGAAATATATCAACATAGATGCTCTCTAAAGTGATTCTTGAGACTATTTCTCAAGAAGAAAGAAAACTAGAGATTAGAGAAAGGTGGATTTTATGCAGCAGATATAACTGCCACATGACATTTTATGGAGAAATGCTTTACTCTGAAAAAGGATTTTCTGGAAACAGTTGGGAGATGAGCGTGTATGCGTATACACACATGTGAAAAACCTTTTAAAGTGAAATATGCCAATTTAAAGTCCCCCTTAAGCCGGGAGAAATAATTTCCGTTATTAAAGCTCACAGCATGAAAATTTTCCTTACGATACATCATAATTAACCTCATATGAACTGTCATCACCATTCGCTGACAGAACAGCATAAACTAAATTTCTTATATTCAAATTGTGACAATTTGGTGGAATTTACACATTAGAAATCTAATCAGAATGCTTCAATCACTACAACTGGTCTGTAAAAACAGCTTTAACATAGAATAACTGCATTGTAGACAACTTATTACATCTGAGAATTACATCACAAATATTCCAGCTATTTTAGATTTCTATGGAATATTACAAATGAAAAAAACAAAAAGGTCAAGTACAATCAACTTGCATTTTTACTCTTCTGTGAGACATGTAAAAACACTCCAGTTTACAAAATATACATTAGGCAATGCTTGGGCTCATCGGCTATAAAACAAAGAAATTCCGCTAAAAATACACTAAGAATGCTTTTGGAAACAGGTTTATAACAAACCACATCCAAGTGGTCCATGCACTAGAGCTGGTGACAGAAATCTGAAAGTCAAGGTATACTAAAGGAACCAAATCTGACCTGATCTTGGAAGTTAAGCGGAGCTGTTCCTAGCTGGTACTTGGATAGCCAATAAATACTAGTTACTATTATTTACTAGCTATATTTCAGAGGAAGAAACAGGCAATACCACAAATATTCCTTGTCTAAGAAAACCCTTTAGAATTAATGGGGTTATCCAAAGTCATTAGACAACTTGAAGGCACATACATACATGTTCATACAAAATTCCTGTTTTGCATATTCAAGTAAAATATCCAGTCCTTGTTTTCTTTTTTACTCTTTCTGAGTTTCAATCTAAATATATAGTAATTTATCCTAGCTTATTTTATTTAAAAGCCTTTTCTTTTACAGCTTTTCACACTATTTCAACCTGAGATAAGTTCATCATCCACATAATTACTAAGATTATTAAGAGTTAAAATACTGTTACCACGCTTGATGACTTTTTCACATCTGAACCCCTTAAAGCAGCTATGAGTAATTATATTTCCTACTTTTTACTATTTTCCCAGAATTTATGTTTCAAAGCAGAAGTAAGCTGTTGTGCAAAGTGTTCCTTGGAATATGTTAAATAGATGTTTGCTATGTTTACTGAGTTATGATTCTGATTTCCATCCTTTCCTATTTTGAGACGTGTGTATTCAAAAGGAAAACATTTCTGTTCTATAAAACTGACTTCCTAGGGGACTTCAGGAACTGGAGCTTCCAAAAGTAAGTCCATGTTTCCAAAGACAACTTTATAATTGGGGGAACAGTACAATAGAGAAACTAAATAACATTCTATTGACCCAGATTTATGACCTATTGTGCTCCATATCTGTTTTCCTTCTCTAGTGCAAAACAAAACATTTGTCCTTTATTCTATTGCAGAATGGACATTTCATAGTTGAATTTAGTTTTCTTTGGGAGGGGGAATTTCTATATTATCCTAGGATAGTATAAAAATTCCCCTCCCTAGAAATTTTTTTTCTAAAATGTGTTTTGTTTGTACTCCACCTATCCCCCACTACATGTAGTTCTTTGCTGAAGAAACAGTAATTCTGAAGAAACATAACCCCATTTCTGTGAAATAAAGAAACAGAAATTGTTTTCCATTGTTTTAGTTTAGAAACACTGGATTCAACTGCTCCAATTAAAATGTTGACCTACCAAGTCCTCATTGATTTAATGCATCTGTTCTAGAAACTAATAAGTGAACTTGAGCTACTGCTGAGTTATGCCTAACTTCAACATAAACGTAAAATGAAAGATGTAAGGAGACTACTCTAACCCGAGTCTAAGTTTTAAGGATATTGTTTTTACAAATCATTTGAAGTCCAAAAAAATGCTGTACTCACATCAGTGCCAATTACTGCAATTTATATGAGCTGTTATGCACATCTCCAACCATTTATTCTCTTTTACTACACACCTTTTAGAAATGCAAAAACCTTACAAAACACTGTACTACCAACAAGAAGTTACCTACAACACTCCATGTATCTTCTTCTTGATTAAATAATAATTCTGATTACATCAAAAACCACAGTATTAAGAATAAGAAGACATAACCAAGTAGTAAACTTCCCTGAAATGCAAGAGGAAACTGAATTCAAAAGGATGAAGCTGAATGCTTCACACTGGTTACATGTGCACGATGTTTCCTTTTATAATGACTGGAACAGTAATAAACCATTGGTAAAAAAAGTGTTTACCAATGGTTTGTTTTTAATTGGAATGCATATAAAATGAGTGGGAAGACACAGAATTCTTCTACATTTACACCTCCAAAAACATTAAAGGATAGTTACAATGCAAGTATGTAAGCAACTTTCATAGGAAAAAAATAGGTCAACTCACAATGCCATAATTTATACAAACTTTATTATATTTTCATTTGATGGAACTATTATTCCAAACTATGATTAGTTCAGCTATATTTTTCCTTTAAGTAGTCTGCTCAGTCTCTAGCTGTGTTCGCCATTTCAGAGTATAGTCAACCAACACGGAACAGATCAATAACATTACAGACGCAAGACTAGACTACATCCATTTAATAACCACAAGAGAGTGTACCATTCAGCAAGATCCTACACATATTATACAACTGCTGTAGAACATTAACTAATGGTGGAAATAAAAATGAAATCGTGATACATATAGCTATCAATTCAGTTATGACTTCACTCTTCAACTCACACTCGCCACATCCAAACAAGTTAAATAAAAGTACAAAATAAAGCATAACTTTTAAAACTAGAAACACAAAGATTACCATCCTACTCGTTACCACTGGATTGTCACAGTGCAGAGCATGCAGTGTCTCTTAACCACCAGTTGCTGCCCAGAAGAGCATTCCTTTGTGACCAAGAGCTGATCAACTTATTTCTTTTAAAAAGATTTTAATGCAAAACTTAGGATGTAGCATTTCATTGTAGCATACACTCTTTACTGTGTAAATATTGGTGAATTATGAGAAACATCTTAAAATAAAAATGTGTAGGAACATATTAAATCTTATGCCTTTCACCACAGACTTTGTCATGATAGAGCATTTATTTTAATAAAAGATACTCATAAAACCAACTTTCTGTCACATTATTCTAAATCCCAACACTTTTCACCTGATCATTAGCTTGCACACTAGTAGTTTGCAAAATTTGTTGAAAACATCAGTTTTCATACTACTAATTTGTATTGTTGTGAAGAACATAAAGCCTTCATTATCATAGCTGTAGTCAACCTAATTTGCATTCTACTCTCACAAGTGATATTACAAAGCAATGTTAAAGTCTAAATACCACAGACTAAAAAAGAAGAAAGGAGATACTTACCTGAAGAACAGGAGATAAGAAAAACAGCAAACACCAACTTTGTAGCAGCTCCCATTTTCCAAATAGTTAAAATCAGTTTGAAGAAAATTCTATATATCCAGCTTCCTGGGTCTTCCAAATATGAAAATCCTTCTTTCAGTTATTTTAAGTTATCTTGGAAAGTAACACGTCCCATATGAGTAAAAACAATTTTCAGTCTAACCAGCTTTTTTTCAGTAGACCCACAAGTAAAACAATGTAGATATATATTGAGGAACACTCACATCATTTGGCTTCTGTACAAACAGTGGCAAAAAATTTCAATTAATGCAATAAAGCAGTTTAGTGTTGAGCAGGTAAGTCTTCACTTTGAGATCTGAAAGGTATCTCCCATGAGTGTTGGAAACCGGCAAGAAGTACAGATATTAGTAAACAATACTTTCATCTTCACGCTTCTTTTCAAGCATGTAGTGTCAAGCCTGTAGTGTCCGAGTGAGAAATAGTTCCATTTCAGTTTCAAGTGTCAACACTAACATGCCTTGGATGGAAGGAGTAATCACAAACTAATCCTTTGATTTAAAAAAAACTTGAGAAAGAAATTTGTGAAACACCAGCGTTTCCTATTAATAAATGCTGAGTTCAACCCACAACGATGAAGAGGGCAGAAACAAGAGTTCACCCGTTCTCCAGAAAAAAGCCCCAAAAAATGTTAATGAAGGACGGCTTGGTCCTTTTTCCTTATCCAGTCAGTGAACGCTGCACATTCCCTCTTGTCTTACCAAATCCTTTCCACTTTCACGATCATGAAGAAGGCGGCATATATTTCAGATTGTTCCTTGCCCTTAATAAACTTGCAGCTTATTAAGAGGATTTCCCCAACACAGTAATTCAAAATACCCTTACATAGAAGCTTTCTGATGAAGGAGAAATGGAAGGCTGGTGGGAGGGGAAGAAGACAAAACCCAAGCACGTTTCTCCCCCAGTCTCTGTTCAGAACAGGAATCTGTCCTGAAGAGCTCAATCCACCTCGGGTGAAGAAGACGTGAGGCGATGCTGCACAACCATGGTCTTCTGGAGTGGAAAGAGGTGGGCAAGGTACACAGGCAGAGTCCTCCTTAGGGGCTATTTTCTCTCTCTCTCTCTCTCATCCAACTCTTCGCGGGATCACCATTTTCTTCTTCTGGGGATGCAAGTTGACTTTTGTTTTGAGGCTCCTTCTTCCTTTCCTTCCCTCCAGTCCACCCTCTTCTCCCCCTTGAGCCTCCCACACAACCTAACGTAAAGGGAGGGGGGCCAACAGAAGCCTCCCTCTTCCTCTTTCTCCTCCTCCTCTTAGCTCTTCCTCGGGCCTCCCGAAGAACCTGCTGCAAGCGCTGGGGTCTTCTCCTCCCCGCCGAGCCCTCCTCGCCGAGCAAGTGGAGGAGCTGCCGTCGCCTTGGAGGGAGCGGGAGAGGAGGCGGCAGGGCCGAGGCGCTGTCCCCGCGCAGGGCGGCGTGAGGAGGGAGCGAGGGAGGCGGCGAAGGGGAGAGGAGCGCTTCTTCTACCACCGCCCCCGAGGCCCGGCTGGCAGCGCGGAACGGCCCTCCCTCCCTTGCTGCGCCCCTCTGGTAATTTCATAGCTACCCATTCAGTTGCGCGGTGAGGAGAGCAGGCTCAAGATGGCGGCGCCCGGGCGATTGTTTTTGTTTCCTCTCCGCCTCGCTCGCCCTTTTTTTTTTTTTTAAACTCCCTCCCTCATTCCCTCCCCGGCCCCGCCCCTTTTTTCCCTCGCGCCTGCGCGCTCTGCCCTCGCGCCCTTCCACCCAGCTGCTGCCGCTGCTCCGTGGGCGTGTGAGGGATTGGGTCTGCGCATGCGTTCCCTGGGGATGAGGCGGGGGGGGAGAAAGAACGCCCGCGTGCCGTAGCTCGCTTTCGTTTGATTGGCAGCTCTCTCGAACCATTCAGAGAGGGTGAAAAAAACAAAGTGGGGAGGAGGGAGGATCCGCCTCTCTCTCTCGGAAGGGGTTCCGCTCCCGCCTCTAAGCTTTGAGGCTCCGCCTCCCAGTGGGCGGGGCTCGATGCAGGCGTTCCAAAGGAGGAAGAAGAAAAAGAAGGGAGGAGGAGGCGCCAGGAAGCCTAATCCGAATGCCTTCAGTGGCTCAGGGCGGGTTGAGCGTGTTCTACTCAGGAATTACTCTTAGACACATCTTTCTATGGGTAGGTTAAGGCCTATTGCCATTGAACTCGCTTCTGGGATCCTTTGAGGGATCTCACCCTCATACACACACACACAAATATATATATTTACATATAGAGTGTGCCAAAACGCTGGAACAATCTAATACTACTACTACCAATAATAATCTATATCAGTGGTTCTCAACCTTCCTAATGCCGTGACCCCTTAATACAGTTCCTTATATTGTGGTGACCCCCAACCATAACATTATTTTCGTTGCTCCTTCACAACTGTAATTTTGCTGCTGTTATGAATCCTCTTGTAAATAAATACCCGATATGCGGGATGCATTTTCATTCATTTCTAACAAATACTCGATACACTCAAAATTTGAATACTGGTGGGGTTGAGGGGAGGATTGATTTTGTCATTTGGGAGTTGTAGTTGCTGGGATTTATAGTTAACCTACAATCAGAAAGCATTCTGAACTCCACCAATGATGGAATTGAACCAAACTTGGCACACAGAGCTCCCATGACAAACAGAAAATACTAGAAAAGTTTGGTGGGCATTGACCTTGTGTTTCGGAGTTGTAGTTCACCTACATCCAGAGAGCACAGATGCATCTGGACCAAATTTGGCACAAATACTCAACATGCCCAAATGTGGACACTGGGTTTTTTTTTATAGACCTTGACATTTCGGAGTTGTAGTTGCTGGGATTTATAGTTCACCTGTAATCAAAGAGCATTCTGAACTCCACCAATGACAGAATTGGGCCAGACTTCCCACACGGAACCCCCATGGCCATCAGAAAATACTGTGTTTTCTAATTGTCTTTGGCGACCCCTCTGACACCCCCTCGCGACCCCCCCAGGGGTCCCGACCCCCAGGTTGAGAAACACTGATCTATATAAATAAAAATGTAATGTTTGTTTGTGGTATTCACATAACTCAAAAACCCCTGGACGAATTGGCACCAAATTTGGACACAAGACACCTTAACAACCAAATGTATGTCCTTCACTCAAAAAAATTGATTTTGTCATTTGGGAGTTGTAGTTGTTGGGATTTATAGTTCACCTACAATCAAAGAGCCTTCTGAACCCCACCAATGATGGAATTGAACCAAACTTGGCACACAGTTCTCCCATGACCAACAGAAAATACTGGAAGGGTTTCGTGGGCAGTGTCGTGGTTTCATGAAGTCCAGGATCATATCCTCCTTGAATAGCACTATATTTCCTTGCTGCTGATTACAAAGGACTTCCATAGGGAAGAGTTTTGAAAACTTATTTCACATCAAAGTTATGTTTATTCTCTCCACAGAAGAGACTCAAAGCGGCTAACTTAGGCCCCATCTACACTGCATTGAACTACATTATAATGGTCAGCGTAGACTCATATAATGCAGAATGAACTGCATTTCCTTGGATTATATGAGTTTACACTGCCATATAATCCAGATCAGTCTGCATTATAATGGCAGTGTAGACAGAACCTAAGAGGGCTGTGAAATGGTTTTCCACATTAGCGCCAGATCAGATGTTAGAAGACAAGATGGATTTTTTTTATTTAGTATGCTATAGAAATTCAGAGCCACTGGAATCAAATGCTGTCCTGAGATGGTTTTTAAGCAACTGATTTTAAAGTGGATATAAATGATTTTAATATTTGTATATATTTATGGTTTTATGTCCCGGCATTGAATGTTTTCCGTATATATGTTGTGCTCTGCCCTGAGTCCCCTGCGGGATGAGAGGGGTGGAATACAAATGTTTTAAATAAAATCAATGTGTCAAAGTAGTCAGCAGTGGACTTACTAGTTTGGTACAGCTTTTGTAAGTAAAACCCAAGCATTGGAAACTTTACATTTTTGATTATGATGTATGGTTCCCATTCGGATTTATTTGGAAGTAATCGTAACTATTAAACTCAGACAGTCATTTTTGAGGACATATTCATAAGGTTGTTTTTCTTGCAAGGACATCCATTGATTCTTGGAAGCAGAGAAAATAACCATGGTTAGGATTTGACTGTAACTGTGAAACACCAGTAAGAACCAGATCTACAAAGATGTTTTAATAGAGAGTTGTGCAATAAGGAGCAGTCACTTTTGCACTTAACCTTCTCTTTTGTGTACACTTCTGCAATAAATGGACTCGTTCAGCATAGGAGAACTTAACTGCATAGATGCTTCAGTGCATCAGAAAATTGGTCTGTATAACGACCTCTACCTCTGAAAGCAGGGTTGTTTTTTTTTACCTGAGTACTTCAAATCTGTTTCTGATTATTGAGATCAGGGATCAAGAGGCTTGTCTTGATAGGAGTACAAGTTATGAAGCCTTTCATAATTACCATCAACCTTCCACATTCACTGGAACAAAGGCACAAATCCCTGTGAAAGTGAAAAACATAAATAAAAAAATCAGTACTTTTTACCTGGGAGAAAGTCTCTCTAGGAATTTCTAGGTCTTCCAGCAAGACTGTGTGTCAGTGGTTCTCAGCCTTCCTAATGCCGCAACCCCTTAATACAGTTCCTCAAATTGTGGTGACCCCCAACCATAAAATTATTTCCACTGCTACTTCATAACTGTAATTTTGCTATTATTCTGAATCGTAATGTAAATATCCAATATGCAGGATGTATTTTCATTCACTGGATGAAATTTGGCACAAATACTCAATATGACCAAATTTGAATACTTGTGGGGTGGGGGTGGGGTTGATTTTGTCATTGTGAGTTATCGTTGCTGGGAACTCCACCAATGATGGAATTGAACCAAACTTGGCACACAGAACTCCCATGACCAACAGAAAATACTGTTTTCTGATGGTCTTTTGTGATCCCTCTGACAACCCCCTCACGACCTCCCCCAGGGGTCCCGACCCCCAGGCTGAGAAACGCTGGTCTACATCATTGAATGTATACTTGAAAGGACCACCCAACATCATAGCATGACTTCCTTTAGTGTTTCCTTCCTTATGTAACATAGGTCTTTTTGTAGCCATTCCCATACTTCTCTAAAGTTTCTTTTAATTTCCAAACGGTTTCCCATGTATATCAAGGAAGCTATGTCATGCAGATATAGACACTAGGGGTGCATCTGCACTGGAGGATTAATGCAGTTTGACATTACTTTGAATGCCAGTTCTCAGTGCTTTGGGATCTGAGAGTAATAGTTTGGAGAGGCACCAGCATTCTTTGGTAGAGAAGGCGTAACACCTTGTAGAACTACAACTCCCATGATGCCATGGCAGTCAAAGTGGTGCTAAATTGCATTAATCCTCCAGTGTAGATGAACCCCAGATAGAATTGTTACTGGAAATAGAAGCCTCTGTGTTCCCTTCCATAGATTCAAGTCAGCTCACTGTTAATTCTTAGACTAGCGCAATTGAGACTTCCACCGGGTGGATGTCGATTATTCTCATATTGAGTGAAACCCATAAATAAGAGCTGTCAAAAAGAGCAGCCGTTTCATCCTAGCCTTTCAATTTTCCCACCTGGCAGACATAAAGTAAGTATTAGGCTTGAATATTGAATGACGCCTTAACTGGATATTCATGTAAAGATCTAATGCTTCAATGTTTCCTTTTTTTTTTTTTTTTTGAAACTCCAGAAATTATAATACTCAAATAGGTTTAGTTCAGGCATTAGGAGGTGGTGTGATAGTAGTCATTTTTTCTGAATTTGTTATATGCCTCCAAGTCTTTTCTGATTGGGTTGTTGTAGCTTTTTTGGGCTATATGGCCATGTTCTAAAAGATTCTCTCCTGAAGTTTCACCTGCATCTATGGCAGTCATCCTCAAAGGTTGTGAGGTTTGTTGTAAACTAGAAAAAATGGGTTTATATATCTGTGGAAGGTTTCCTTGGCAAGATTGAAAGGGGGTTTCCCATTACCTTCTTCTGAGGCTGAGATGGTGTGAGTTGCCCATAGTCAACCAGTGGCTGAGGAAGGGATTAAACCCTGGTCCCCAGAGTCCAATTCAATACTAAAGCCTTTGCATGGGCTGGCTCTTGTATCTAGAGTTAATGTGGCTTTTAAGAGAAAAAGACCCTCTGAGATGCCCTTAACAAGTATGCCTGTGACAGTGATAGGACAAACCGTGAAATGGGCATTGGCCATTTTCAGTAGCTAAAAACATCCTGTAAATGCACAGCAGTAACCCAAATGAACAAAACAAAAAAATGGGAATGTGTTGCTTCTATGCTAAGTAGTTGTGCCAGAGGACCTCACAACCTCTGAGGATGGCTGCCATACATGTGGATGAAATGTCAGGAGAAAATTCTTCTGGAACATGGCCATACAGTCCAGAAACCTCATAGCAACCATCACGCCATAGATTATGAAGTGAGTTTGCAACCAAGGGCTTTTCCTCCTCAAAGCATACATCCAGTTCTCCCTAGAAAATTTTGCTTTATGTGTGGTTATGCAGTTCGGAAAACAACGATATATATTATAACATCTGAGGCGCTCTCATTTCTTCTGGCAAACTGGGAATGAATTATAAATATCAATTAAATCTTACAACACCCTGTTTAGCTTGTAGATTTTGTATTCTTCTGCCCTTGCACTGAAACTGAACTTGTTCTACAGGTTTTTGTAATACAATCCTATCAGGTTTAGCAGCTTTTCGGTGATCATCACCTTGACGTTTGAGGTGAAAATTAGAGGCACAGATTTATCCCAGTTGCTATTGATCTTATCACTGTGCCTTTTCATTTTCAGTTCTTTGGGGGAGGGGGGCTGTGTATAAATTAAGAGAAAAGGGGATTTTTTTAAAAAAAAAAGTGTTTTAAAAGTATTGCTCATAAATTGTCCTGGAAAACAGACCAATCAAACTGTTTTTGAGCTCATTGTGGGAATTCTGTTTTTTAAAAATACAGCAACTCCTTGGTATCCACTGGATTTTCTTTCCAGGGCCCCTGTGGGTACCACAATCCTTGGATGATCAAGTCCCAGTGCATACAGCGACACAGTAAAATAGTATCCCTTATATAAACTGGTAAAATCAGGCTTTCCTTTTTTGGATTTAA